ATACAAATTTCTTCTTTTAGACATGTGGTTAGAATGTTTGATCCGTCCTTTAAAATTCCAACAGGTTCCAAAATCTGGTTCCTGTAAGTAAAGCTTCTGTATTTAGAGAAAAACCTATGGTTTTCAGTTAATCTAAAATCTTTTTAAAACTGAGCCATCTTGCATTTGTACAAGTGAAGGTGCGGACTCTAAGGTTTAAACCAAACTCAACTTTAGAAAATGAACTTATCCTTAAACTACATACACTATTTTCATTATATCACTACTCAATGCGGTGTTTCTAATCACCAATCTGAAATTTGATGTTTTGTCAAATTATACATTTATATCAAACTCAACTTATGAAGCAGTCAAATAATGTATATAATTAATCAAATTACTTTTGGCTAACATCAAGTTTAGTATTTTGAATCTACTTATTCTCTTTAAGCTTCTTTTTTTCCGGAGGGTATATAAGATTTTACTTCTCGATCAAAAGAGGCATCATAGGCCAATAAAAAAGCACATTTGAATGCAAATAATCACAACTCAATTTTCATTTTACTACTAAGTGAAACAGAAGTATAGTTCAAACTCCATTTTTTTTTTGGGTATTTGAGGTCCAATTAAAAGCTATAATCGAAATCTAATGTACAGCAGCGGTGATAAAGTCCCTGTTAGAATCTAAGATGTAGAGACTCGTCATACCAACCTTGTCATTTTTAAATTACAATTGCATACAGTTTTAGGCTTTTAGCAGACTAAAAATGCTTAACTAGCAGACTAAAGAATGGAATTAAGTTATATTCTAAATAACATAGCTCAGAGGTGAAGTAACAAATTGATCATGCCTCGTGAATCGGTCTTCGAAGACCAGTATAAACAGCTGACCTAAAAAGATAAGGTGTTTCTTCTGTCAATACCTCTGCATCCAACTTTTCAACATGGGGCCATATCTGCAAGCAACAATTTAATACTAGTTTTTAGAGCTAAACAAATTTAGAGCAATCTAACCCTGGAGGAACAGGTGCAAGATTTTGTATATGCTAAGTGTTGTTTACAAGGCATTCCCTTAAAAGCCAAGATAAATGCAAAAAGGGAATGGAACAATACCTCAGCAGCATACTGCCTAGAAAAAGCCTTCACATAGCCCAAAGTGGTGATACACCACTGCTCCTTTTCACCTACAACATAAGCACCACCTTTCTTCTCTCCATTTGACTGACTGTAGAAGACATTAAAAAGCAATAGTAATATGCACATGCGTACAAAGCAAGAGAAACATTAACTTTTCTTAATTATTAATCTAGCTCAGAAGGACAGGCACGAGAACCTGTTTTGAGATCTCTGGTTTTCGTCATCTAATTCCATTGTTGGTGGCTCTTCAGCGTCCACTGCCATCACATCTACTTGCACAGACTTCAACTCATGCAGTGTTCTAGTTCCTTCAGGAAGCCGCTCTGTCAACACATTTGAGAAGCTTTTGTACAACAAGAGAAATAATGCCTGTATTTGCCAATAACCAACAATGCAATGAAAATTTTCTTAGAAACATACTATCGGCACATCTATTTTATTCAAATACATGGAAAAGTTATCTCTGGCTGTAACAAAAATGAAACCATTCCCAGACATTGTAAACATGTTTGATACAAAAAACTTTATGCAAACAATTAACTTTAACAAATTTTCCATCAATTACCTCATTTTCCTCAATTGCTCGGACAAGAAGAGCTTCCTTAGATTCTAAGGATTCTTTAACAGTCAGCACGTCCTCCGTTGCCTTTTCAGCATGTGATTTCAATCTATTCAATCTAACAGGATTTTCACCAAGAACTGGTTCACCATCCACAAGTGTAAGTTTTGACTCTGCAGCATCTAGCTCAGCTTTTGCCTCCTTGGCAGCTTCTTCGGCAGATGAAATGTTCTTTTTAATAGTTAATATTTCTTTCCGTAAATCAGAAATACGATTATGTGTCTTGCTTACTGCATTTCTCAGAATCTGTTCAATAGAAATCAGGGTCAAATTACTATATGAAAGCAAAAGTAATTATCATGATGATCAACTGAAAATCCCATACATGCTAAAATTCATAATCCATGGCAATCAAACCAAAAAAAAAAAGGATGTAAATTTTGAGCACTTAAATTTAAAAATTAAAAAGCAGATCACATGAAATACAATAAAAAGCAAAAGCCAGATGGTTTCTGACCCCTGTAGACCAATAGCCCAGGAGGAAAGAGTTAACAACAATCTATCCGTAAAAACCTCAATTATGTACCTCCCATGGACGATCCGATGTATGAAATTGCTCAATATTTTCTGCTGAGAAGACCCATCTCACAATAGCCAGATTTGATACAAGTCGATAACCCATCATCCTGTCAATAGCTATTGCTGTCATTTGTGTGTTACTCTTCCAGAAAGAACTCACTTCAGCTATCAGCATGACTTGTCGATCCTCATCCGGACATACTTTCGCAAAGACTTGTGCGTATCTCTCCAAGACAGTTATCAAATGAGTGAAACTCTTGGATCCAATATTGAGAAGAGTTTGTACAATCACTCTGAGGGTAACTTCTAGACCATTATTTGGAAGCACACTTTCATCAATCCAAGAGATTATTTCACGGACAGGTGACTTCCCTTTAACCATGCCGTTGAGCTTTCCAGACAGTGCATGCTCATTGCTTTCTTTACCATCTTCTGAACCAAAACTAAAATTTGGCCCGCTTTTAGGAGGAAGCAATTCTTCCAAACGAGGTGCATTTTCAATACTCTACAAAATATCATGAAAATATACCATAAAAACACAATATGCCAATTATATAAAAAAATACCTTTCAATTAATTCTGCTGCTAATAGAAAAGCATCCAATGTAGTCAATATCAAAAATTTAGACAAGATTAGTAGGATGGCAGTAAAATATCATAAACCATAGTTTCACAACACGATCCATAGAATCCTACAAAAAAAATGCAAAATCATAACAGATAATGAAAATAACCTTTCAATCACATAATAAATTAAGTTAGAACTGAATTCTTAAGCATGACATTCAATAAAATGCAGGAGTGATAAATAGCCACATAACACAAGTTTTTCACTAAATAAAGGTTGATTAAAAAAATTAATCTGTTTTAGTGAATTAGAGTTGTTTCTTTCGGATAAAATATAAATACAAAGCCAAATAACAGAGATGAGAGATTAGGGTAGGGAAACTTGCAGTGAGAGAACAGAAGCTTCTCTCCTCTGCTGCAAGCTCTTTGACCTATCTATTTCCCCTCAGTTGTAAGCTCCACTGCCCTGGCAGACCAAAGCATGGGTGTAGAGAAAGCAGGTTGAGAGAAGACAGTTATCAACATCTCCGTTAGGAACCCAAAATTGAAAAGAGAAAGAAGAGTAATATTTCTTTATTGAACTCTGTTGCATAAATATTCTCTTCCACCAAAATTTCGCGATTATGCCTTCACTACAGCAGTTTATCTCATTAACAAGCTTCCAACAGGTTCTCTGAATTCTGTTGTTCCTTACTATGTTATTTTTAATAAAGATCCTGATTTTGCTTTTCTAAAAATATTTGGATGTGCATGTTTTCCTCTTTTAAACCTTATCACTCTCGTAAGATTGATTTTAGACAAGAGGAATGTATTTTATTGGACTATTCTTAAACGCATAAAGGCTATAAGTGTCTATCCTCTTACTGACAAAATTTACATTTCTAAGGATGTTCAATTTAATGAACAAGAATTTCCTTATTCTAGGCTTTTTCCTCATAGTCCTAACATTGCTAAAGATCTCAATCGGTATTTTACTTTAAATGCTACTCTTACACCACATCAATTGTCCACTACCACTTCCTCTACTAGTATGTCTATCAATTCCTCAAAAGAGTCATCTTGTTCTGAGTCTGTGTCTATTACTGCACCTACTGATGATTAATATTGTGTCAATACATGATGCTGTAACTCCTGTTAATACTCTTTCGATGAAGACAAGATCCAAATCTGAAATTCTTACTCACAGAGTTCATCCGTCACACTTCTTTCTAATTCAAAACCTACAAATGTTAAGCAAGCTATTAAAGATGCTAATTGATTAGCTGCAATGCAGCAAGAATATGACGCTCTCATGAAGCAAAATACTTGAGATTTAGTTCCATTACCTTTGATAGACAATATGTTGGGTGTAAATGGGTCTTACAAGTCAAAGAAAATGATGATAGCTCAATTAATAAATATAAAGCACAACTAGTGGCAAAAGGATTTCATCAAAATACACAGGTTTGATTTTCATGAGACTTTTTCTCCAGTGGTTAAACCTATAACAATTCAAATTATTGTCACTCTTATTATATCCTATGGTTGGAATAGGAAATTGTTTTACCCAGATGTTAACAATGCCTTTTTAAATGGTTTTCTTGAATGAACAATTTATGACTCAACCGCCTGGCTTTAACGTAAGTGACAAGATTCTTGTTCGCAAGTTGAATAAAGCCTCCTATGGGCTAAAACAAGCAACTTGTCAATTGTTTCACAGGTTGTAAACTACTCTTCAACAAATTGGATTCGTCAATAACATTTGTAATTCATCTCTGTTTACAGAAAACATTTGCAAATTATTTATTTTCTTGTTTATGTGGACGATATTATAATATTTGGTGTTGTGCTGAACTGATTCAAGACATTACATCCAAACATAATGTTACTTTCTCTTTGAAACAATTGGGATATCTTGATTATTTTCTCAGTCCTGAAGTTAAATACTTACTTGACAAATCTATTCTAATGACTCAAACCAAGTACATCCAAGATTTGCTTCGTAAGTCACTCATCACACATGCTCATACTATTTCTTCCCCAATGGTAACAAGCTGCATGTTATCCAAACATATGGAGCTGAATTGTTCTCTAATCCTATTTTCTATCTATTGGAAATCCCATATTGACGGGAGATAAGGTCAATTTTTATTATATAAGTAGGTACAAACCTCATCTTACAAGCTAATTTTGTGGAATTGAATTAGGCTTAAAGTCAACTTCTTAACATGCTATCATAGTCATAGGTTAAAGTCTATCTTAGTGAAATTTGATATTTGTTGGATCTATTGTTTCACCTACTATGGTGCCACTATTAAACAACCTATTAATGTCTAGAAATAAGGTCACATATCAACTAGAAATAAGGTCAATTTACTGTATATAAATGGGTACAAACCTCACCTTATAAGCTGATTTTGTAAGGTTAAGTTGTGGGTACTCTTTAGTATGCCACTCTTACTAGACCAAAGACTAGTTATGTAAACTGAGGTACCTTAAGGATACAATATTTCATGGCTTGCATTTTCAACCTGCATCACTTAAGTACTCTTCAGTATGCCACTCTTACTAGACCAAAGACTAGTTATGTATACTGAGGTATCTTAAGGATACAATATTTCATGGCTTGCATTTTCAACTTGCATCACTTAACTGCTCTTTATGCTTATAAACCTGTTGTGATGCTGACTGGGTATCAACTATAGATGATCGAAGATCTATTTCAGGGGCAGTCATTTTTCATTGTCCTAATTGGTGGTCTAGAAAACAAGTTGCTGCACATTTCAATACTGAATCTGAGTACAGAAGTCTAGCTGAAACAGCCGCAGAATTGTCATGGATTTCCAAACTGTTAACAGAGTTGCAAGTTTCTTTCCTTACTCCAGTTCTTCTTTGTGATAAGCAAAGTGCAGTGGCTATTGCTCACAATCCTGTTTTGTCACAATCGATCTAAACATATGGAGATTGATGTCTTCTTTGTACGAGAAAAGATTTTGGCAAAGCAACTCTTAATTTATCATATTCATTGTCCAACACTTGGTTCGTGCTTCTTCGCAGCAACCTCAATGTGAAGACTTTTGCATCTAAAAAAGTCTTCTCCTTGAGTTTGAGGAGGGCTGTTAGTGTATATACTATAGCCAACGGTCAACTTGTATAATTAGTCAAACCTGTTCAGCGGTAGGTTTCTTTCATTGTATATTTTTTTCTCTGTACAGCTGTCAGTTTATAACAGCTTCTTAGACATTTGTGTCCATAAATACCTATTGTACATAACATACAATGTGTGAAAACAGTAAATAAAAATATTATGTTATTATTCAATTTTCCCTCTCTTTTCTCTGTTCAAGTTATCTAAGAAGATTCCACCACAATTCTCCTGACATGATCCTGGAGTGAGTTACCTCAAGGAAACTGAAAAATAAAAAATCATTCTATTTAACAAAGCATCCATTCCTCTACATAACAAAAACAGATAAACAGAATATCTAACCCTTTTATGATTTCCCTATATGATCCATAACCATGAAAAGATCATGAGTGGCAATGCAGTCTAATTGTCTCATCATAAGGCAATGTGCAACAAATGTAAAATTTACTGTGGTTCTAGCTTTGATAAATTACCTGCTTAACTTTGTCCCAGTATGACAAGCGAACTTCCCTCTCCAAAACCTCTTGGACAAAGACACGTTGTGGAGCCCACTTTGGGAGCTCTAGGACATAAGCCCACTCTTCCCATGGCCAGATAAACTGGAAGTTTGATCTGCATAATATAGACCATAAACCAAATTGAATATGAAAACACTTAATACACAACTTAGGACACAGACACAGATTGTGTTTTCAACTACTAACATTCATCTGAAAGTGATGATTGAAACAAATTATCAGTTTATCATCACAATGCACCAAATTGTGAGAGCTATAAATGAGCATCTAATTATTTAATACACTCATCCAACAACTTTACGCATAATTATCATAAAGTTTTGTGCATCAGCAATGTATAGGATTAATCCAAACATCACAACCACTGTTTCCGTCGTGGAAAAAGGTGGAAACTACAGAGCCTGCATTTGACACATCTGTAGCCTCTGATTCTTGTCAATACAATATTGCCCTGAATGCTCCCTTTTTTTTATGGAATGCTGGAATTGGGCATGTTAAAGGATGATCTAATAGAAGGTTATATACATGAACTTCAAATAAGACTGCCAGTGTCATTCTATGACTCTGCAATGGGGGAGTATTATTTTGGTCAAAAGGAAACGGAGTCTTGGTCTCTCTCTAAGCCCATAGTAGTGAATGATTCCAAACTAATAAGGATTAAGACATTTGGAGAACGTGACTTTGGTGGATACTGAGGAGGCATTTTGATGTTTTATGAATGAATGTTGGTGTTAGCAGCCTTAAATTGGGTGGATTTTAACAAACTGGTTCCCCGATTGGTGGTCTAATTTTTTGTTACC